AATAAGAATGGCCAGAAAAATTTGAGGGATGATTCCAAATAGTACAACCACTTCCGCGAGATCCTCGACCTCAATTAGTCCGGCTCCCCTAAAAGAATTATTCCGGCCAAAACCACGACCTCGTTGCAAATGAGCAGCATAATGAATCTGGAGATCAGAAAGGCGAGTAAGTTGCAACAATTGACTGGAACTAGAAGAGCCATTCATCAATGAGCTATTTGAGGATTCCTGCAAAATATTAGCTTCCTCAATCAACAGTAGCGATCGCAATTCCAAGAAAGTAGGGAAGGGAACACGTTGAGGAATAGTGCGCTTTGCCACTAAAAAGGAATGATCAAGACCAGCAATAGTTCGAAGCACTAAATCTTTATCAGATACTGGATGACCAATTCCGAAAAGCCAATCAGATAACCCCTTGACATACTGCAAATAGTCCATAACACTCTGGCTAGACTGCTTTTGAATACCACTAAATTCTTGAGTTAATTGAAGTGCAGCAGCACTAAGTTGGCTTTGGTACAACTGATGAATAGATTCCCAAGCTAATTTTGCCGTGAGCTGCTTACCAGGTTGAAGAATAAATTGAAGAATGTCTTTTGATATAGTGGCCTGAATCCAAGATAGAACCTGATAATCAACCTGCATCCAATAATCAAAATCTAGACTGTTAGGGGAGGGACACGAATCGGAACCATCAACATGACCATAAACGCCTTTGCTTTTCAATACAGGAATCATCAATTCCTTCCACACACAAAAATTAGTGTGATCAAGAGTTTCTACCACATAATTCCGAATATTGGTGACGAAGAAAACAGGATGAGAGAAAACAGAAGAAGCAAGGGTTGTGGGTAAAGAGGAAGAAGTAGGAGGAAAAGAAGGAATAGGGATTGACGGCGTGACAAACACAACAAGAGAGGAAGGGGCAAAAATTGTAGAAAGAAACGAAGAACCAGTGGAAAGAGAAGGAACAGGAGCATGGGTAAAGGAGGGAATAGGAGAAGTAGAGGAAGGAGACAAAGAAGAAGACGAAGACTCATCCATTGATGCAGAGGCATAGCAGAATAAGAAACCTAGGGTTTTGGAATTATTTGGTGCTAAGAGAAAGCTCTGATACCATAAAGAATATTGAGGTTGAATCAATCTTTATTAGGTTATAATCAGGGTGTATATACAAGATGTATAGAAGTCTATTTACACTTCTAACCCTATACTATGTACACGTGTATTATGATATACATTATCATTTGATTTATGGATGAAATGCTACAAATGATGGGGAAAGCAATATGTGTTGGGTAACTCATGTATGATGATTCTGGATCAACACAAATGGAATGGGGGCCCAAAAATACTTGATAGAGGGTGGAATATCATCTAGTTTGCAGTGGTCTAGACACTATGGCTATGTAGGAATGATAGGATTTTTAATGCAAATGAAGCAAATGTAGACTGCTTTTTTTAACTAGTTCAAACTTGATCTTTTTACTAGGCAAAAAATATTGCAGGAATGGATGGGTTCTCTCCACAAGATTGGTGCGAAAACCCAACCAAATGTTTAAAGAGCAATGTCAACATGAAAGAAAGAGTTTGAACTGGACCCTTTTCCCAGAGACTTTAATTTGTTACATTTTTTCTGCATAAGCCGGTGATTAAGAAAATCGTTTTCACCTACTAATGTATGTAAGCTATGGGTTGGAATACCCCCAGTATTCCACATTTAATAAATTATTTTGCTTTTCAAAAAAAAAATTCAGACAAATTTTTTTTTTTAACAGTGCTCAAAAAATCAGTCTTTTACCCGTTTCATATTTTGTTTTCAGTGTATTTATACATGTGGGGTTCAATGGCAACTGGATTTGAGTCCACAAGGCATCCAACACTTAACCTAACTGTCTCTACATAGAACTAATTCCCCCTTCTAATCTGACCATCTTACAAGCCGTTGACAACCACTTAAAATTTAACTAAAGCCTAGAGTTCCGATGAAATCTACCTCTAATTCACGTGTTATCAACTAAAGTTTTTAGGTCGATTGACTCTTGAATACACAATATTGGTTGTGAAAGCAATTAAAATTCACAGCTAAGAAACAAGTTTGGTTGAAATCACTGGAGGTTAATTAAATAATTACCACTGTTATAAACAATAGTCAACAGAAAATCTCCAAGATTTAAGTAATAACTTGTTTCCTAATTTATAGCTAGCACTAAGCTCAACCATAAACGAATTAATACATAAATGCCTTGCAAACGGATAGAAGTATAGAACTACAGCATTAGTGTCCTTACATCTCCCCTATCACTTGTTTCTACAGAATATTTTCATCACTGAAAAGTGGCCTTACCCCTGCCCACTGAATCAGATTCCCATTTCCAAAAATAAAAAAGAAAATGAAGCATATATCTCCACCTAAGGAAGGCCGTTACCTTTTTCTCATATAAATAAACCCTCATGTAACCCATTAGAGCAGTTCCTATCATATTCAGTTTCCTAAATTAGCTACTTAGTTATTCACAGACACTATGGCTCAGCTGTCTCTTCAAGAGAAATTGAAGTTTGATGCAGAATACAAGGTTCCTGTTGACAAGATCCATGAGTTCTGGAGCAGCAGCCTTGGCCACATCCCAAAATTCTGTCGAGACACATTTCACAACATTGAGTTAGTCCAAGGTCGCTGGGGAAATGAAGGCTGCATCCATAAGTGGACTTACAGTCTTGGTATGCAATGCATCACCAATTATTAATTTCATGCATATGTTCGATTATATTTTCACTAAGGATTCTTGATCTTTAATTATTCAGCTTTTCAATCAGAACATTCTTGTTCCTGTTTTAATGTTGTGCAGATGGAAAAGTTTTAACTTGTAACTCAATGACTGAGACACTGGATTACAAGAAAAAATATATTACTTTCAACGTAATTGGTGGGGATCTTTTAGAGCCTTACTACAAGAGCTTCAAGTTTGTTGTTCAATTTACTCCCAAGGATGATGGGGGCAGCTTGGGAAACTGGACTTTGGTGTACGAGAAGCTGAATGAAAATGTTCCAGACCCCATCTCGCTGCGTGAGGCATGTATTCAGCTCAACAAAGCTATTGATGCTTACCTTAATCAGGCTTAAACACAATCTATTATGAAATAATTAATCCCATGTGTGCTGGCTATAATCTATGTATGTTGTATGGTTTTGTAATATCTAATGCTACTAGAATAAAGAAAACCTGAGAGTCCATTGCCTATTTTCAAAAAATAAAGCCTGAGAGTTTCAATGAAATCTGCCTAGCTCGCTCTTATTTATATATTTGTTGTTAATCAAGGTTTATGGGTGACTACTTTGCATGCAATCTAGAACAAGCCGGTAGCTGGTAGGTGTAACTTTTTCATTCAAAGTCTTCGAAATAAAAGGACCAAGTATACTTTAGAGGTAAAATTTTCCTCCCTCACTTTAGTTTCTCTCAAACCAAATGTACCATAAAATTTTAAATACCATAATTTTAATTTTATATCTCTTTTAAGCAATGAATTTTGAACTCCTAACTTTTCCTTTACTGATAGGTAAAAGAGTCAAAACAATGTATTTTGTACAACGTGAACACTCAAAAGTGTAACATAATAATATCACCATTGGTTTTGGGCTAAAATTAACTATATATTACGTTCTTACAAAACCAAAGACTCAACTAACTAATATATAAGACAATGCCAGTCTACTAGCGATTCCATCTCTGTCTCCATAGGAATATTTACTGATAAGAATGCTTTGTCATTCAGATTGAATAACTTTGTTATCTACACAACATTCAAAAATATATTTAGTTTAAGGAGAGAAAAGATAATAGTATTTTTTATTTAATCAAATTAAGATGCTAGGTTAAAATTGTAACTTGATTGGAACAAAAATTTTTCCTTCCTTCATTTTCCTTAAACTAGACATATCCTTAGTCCAATGGAGTACAGTGGATTTATTTTTTTAATCCTAAATGTTGGACCGGCAAATGTTATTTTATAATCTAAGTGGAGGGTTTTAAGTCTTAGAGTTAATATTTAAAAATTTTAAGGACAGTGATAGGCTCATCCTTGAACCTACACCTTCCTTTACATATAGTCGATTCTAAAATAAAATAAGATAGTCTCTTTGACAAGTTTATCCCTTGCTTGTCTAGCAATTCACGTCAAATCTTCACCAAAATTACCCATCTATGAATCCCCCCTCCATTCGAAAAGTTTTCAAAAGAAATTATCTAATACTATAACCATCAATCTCTAGTCAATTTGTTCTCTTAAAATAATCAAAGAAAAATCCAATTCAATGATAATTTGCTTATAGATTCAAACAAACCAAAAAAAATCTGGATGACAAGCACTGTTCTTGGGTTTGATTTAAACCCAAATATATATTGGGTTTGTCACAAACCCAAAATGAACCTAAGTGTTGGGTTCAATTTGAAACCAGACCTAGGTATGTCACGAACCAAGTGCTGGGTTTGATTTGAACCTCAATCTGGGTTCAATTTGAACCCAGGTGCTGGGTTCTTCACAAACCCAAGTCTTAGGAGTTTTGGGTTCAATTTGAACCTAGGTGCTGTCAAGAACTTGTTTGTTACAGTAGGCAAAAAGAGAGGGAAGAAGAGAGGGAGGAGGAAGAAAGTTGACAAACTGGTGTTGAACTGTTGAAGATAGAGATGGAAAGAAAGGACGAAAAAGAAGTTTTGTGAGGAAGAAGATGGCTTTAAGGGTAACTCTATAATTTTAATTTTTGCAATCTATTTGGAGGCATGAATAGGTCAAAGGTCCGTGGATGGCTACAAGATTAGAATTTTAGGGAAATGTTTATTTTATGAAGTGTACACTGTAAGGTATTGAACTGCAGGGTGCATGAATGATTTTCAAAAAATTAATTCTATTAAAATGTATTATGTTGATATTAAGAGTGTATTTAATTTTAAAGTGTATAAAAATTAATTTAAAACTACTCTTAATCATTAAAAGAAAAAAAAAAAAAGATAACAACAACAACAACAATAACAACAACAAAATGTGCTTTTCAAAGGTATGGATACCATACCATTATAACATATTATTAATTTATTATGTTTTCTTCCAAATCTGGCATGTGAGAATTTTGTTTTGAGAAGAGCAGAACCACATATTTTGCTATATTTGCCAATTTTTTTAACCTAAGAGTGCATGGAGAACTTAATTTTGAGAAGAGCATAACCACATATCTCTTTTCTTTTTTTACATAAAAAATTTAATTACTTAATATTTTAAAAGTTTAAATTCATAAATTTAATTTAAAATCAAAATTTGTAAATTATTAAATACTAATTTAATTAAATTCTTATTAATCACATGTCTTATTATGTTTACCGTATGTTTAGTATATACGCAAGACTTCTAAATAAAAGTCAACACCAAAATTTTAAGCAATTTGTTCACTAGTTTGTAGCTTGAACTAACCTCAACCATAAAATTAGTCGGATTTAGAGAAAAATATATATCCATCTTACTAAAAAACTATGCTTTAGAATTACTCAACAGTTGAGTCATTTTCACCTAACATTATAACTTATATACTTCTTGTTTGATTTAGTTGTTATACTTTTTATTTTAATAAGACATTAAATATTAATATTTTAATATTATGTTTACGTTAGAAGAGATAAAAATGTATTAAGATTTTTTATTTTAAGGCGAAAATAAAAAATAAATCTTAATTATTGAAATAAATAAATTCCTTAATAAACATGAATGAATAAAGTAGAAATAAATTAGGTTAAAGAGAGTAGTAGTTCTAGAATGATATCCTTTGTAGCTAAAATTATGAATCATCTATATAAGAGATTAATTTACAACTTTTTTAAAATAATTAATAAACATAAATTGCAAATCTCCAAGATTTAAGTAACTTGTTCCCTACTCTAGAGCTTGAACTAAACAAAGATTATATAAAATATTATCAATGACGTCTTTGGGTCAATAACAAAGATTGAGACCCTAGTGAAGAAGTTTATGATAAAAATAAGTAAATCTCTAATAATAAAAATCTCATTATAATAATGTAGCAATAACATAAACAAAATAAAAGATAAGTTGAAAAAGTTTCTAATAAAGTGAGGAAATCTTTAATAGTAGAAATCTCATAATAATGTAACAATAACATAAACAAAATAAAAGATAAATGAGAGAGACAAGAAGATACGATATTACATGGTTTGAGATAATGTTAATACATCATGATGCATCAAAATCCCCTAGTTTATGATACAAAAACCTCTATGGGTTTTGCAAATTTATTTCTCTTTATTTTTTTTTTACATATGAGCAGTTTAGAGATACATAATATAAGAAAATAACAATTAATTGAAAATTTTCTTATTAATGAGAGTACACAATCAATTGATTAATTAATTTTTCCTTAGTTAATCAATCTTTATGATGGCATGATATTCATTTCTTCTATAACCAGATCAATCATTACATGATTTGATCTTTTTCTTTTTCTTTCTTTTATAATAGGATCAATCCTTTTATGATTTGATCCTCTTTACGTACAACCTCATTTTATGTGTTCCACTCTGGTATACAATAGATTCTTTCTAAATTTTTTCTGAATTTTGTACTATGCTTAAGACTATATAAAATATCATCATAAACCAATGTTGAGAAGTAAGGTAGAAAATCTGCAAATGACTTCAAGGCGTGCTGCAAATGCCACTTTCTTTTAGGCTAATTTCGCCCCCACCAGATCTGGATGCAAAAAAGGGTAACTCGAAATGCTCTTAGGATACAATGAAGTGCCTTGTTAATCTTGCTTTTGCACTAGCAAGATCAACCACTGAACTGTTCTTTGGAAAGTGACAAAACAATAGTTTTTGTACAAGGATTTCTGCAACAATCGAATTACAAAAATGGGCTATTTTATTTAGATAACAGTAGGGGTTTGTTTCTGGGTTCAAGAGACAAAGAAAAAGAAGAGATAACTTCATATTTATAGGGGCAAGATGTCTATTGTGAATAGACGTTATTTTTCAGTTATTTTCAGTTTATTAACGAATAATAACTGAGTTTTTATGAAATTTATCTATTGGAAACTCTTCCAAAAGTCATTTGGTTTGATTTGAACTCTAAATCACGTGTTTCCTTGCCTTCCAAAATTATCCACTCTCTTCAAAAACTTATCTAAATTTTATCTCTTATTCTGACGTAAATGGTTTAAATCAGATAAATGTAATTCGAATCAAAATCGTAACTTTTTGGATTCTGGTTTTACGTAAATGATTCGAATCATATAATTATGGTTCAAACCATATAATTATGATTCAAACCATATAATTATGATTCAAACCAAAGTTACACTTTCTCAAATACATTCTGTGCAATTATTTTAAATCAAGTTTTTGTGATTCGAACCCAAATCCTGAAAATATTTTGAAAATTCTTCAACAACCAACACATAATACCTAACAATTAGCAAAAGGATAGAACCATGTCAAGCATCGTTGTCCTTTGCATTTCTGCTATCACGTGCTTCTAACAGAATATCTTTAGCACTCAACTTGCTTTGCTTTTTATCTGTGACCACTGAATCAGATTCCAATTTTGAACAATGAATAATGAAGCAGCTCTGGGCTCGAAAGTATCAAGCAGCCCCACCCAATTCGCCAGGCCATTACATTTTCTCTTATAAATAGCACCCATGTATAACCCATCAGGGCAGTGCCTTTCATGTTCAGTTTCCTAAATATTAGCTAGTTATCCACGAAGGTAACAAAATGTCTCAGTTGCCTCCTCTTCAAGGCAAACTAAAGTATGATATAGAGTACAAGGTTCCCGTTGAAAAGATCCATGAGTTCTGGCGCAGTAGCTTTGGCCACATCCCAAAACTCTCTCCTAACATAGTCCAGAACGTTGAGTTAGTCGAAGGTCGCTGGGGAAATGAAGGCTGCACCCATAACTGGACATATAACATTGGTATGCAACATCAACCTCGTGAATAGTAATTAATGATTGATCTTTATTATGCTTTTTGATTGATACATTCTTGTTTCTGTTTTAAAGTCTTGCAGATGGAAAAGTTTCAACTTCTGTCCTTATAACTGAGGAAGTGGACTGCAAGAAAAAATACATCAGTTTCAAAGTAATTGGTGGGGATCTTTTGGAGCCTTACTACAAGAGCTTCAAGTTTGTTGTTCAATTCACTCCCAAGGATGATGGGGGCAGCATGGGAAGCTGGATTCTGGTGTATGAGAAGCTGAATGAGAATGTTCCAGACCCCATCTCAATGCGTGAGAAATCTGTTCAGATCAACAAAGATATCGATGCTTACCTCACTCAGGCTTGAACATAAATATGAAATAACTAATATGTGCTGTCTATAATCCATGATATGGATGTGTAATATGTAATGGTAATCTACGTTATAGTTGTCTAATTAATATTTAATTGTACCAGAATAAATAAAGCCTCAGTGTTACAATAAAATCTGCCTTAATTTCCCTTACTTATCTGTTATCATCAACTAAAGTTTTTAGATTGATCCATTCTTAAATATATGAGAATTTAAACCAAAAATACCTACTTTTCTCTTACATTCGATAAGACAATTTACAACCAAAAATAACTGCTTTACTCTTGCAATCTAGATTCTATACAACCTGGTAGGTGTGCAACCTTTTTATTCAGAGTTTTCAAAATAAGTGGAACATGTATACATACAGATACTATAGTGGTGGCAACAATACACACACATATGTATGTGCCTTTTGCTACACACTGTACATCCTTATTTAGCTAAATTTTTGTGTAAAACATATATAAAGTGCATCTTAATTTTTACCCTACAGTCCCACTTCTGGCGTACTTGTCGATCTGAGTAATGTCAAGGATTTTGTTCATTCCATTTGCCAAAAGATACCTGAAATTTTTTCGACCAACAAAGAATTGAAAATTAATGTATTAAACAGGAAACTTTTTAATTGCTTAGACCTTAAGGAATGAAAATTTTCCATACTTGTTTCTGAACTCTCTTGCCATATATCGACAGCCACCAGCGACTGATGATTGCATGTTCACAGCAATGTCAGGATTGTGAATGCTCTGTCTTACATGCACCCAACCGTGTTCCCCATTTTCTTTATCTGAAACTTTAGCCCTGTAATTTCAGCCAAACAGATTATATATATAAGCAAAGTCTATACCGTAGAATATATTCCTTCTAAAAGTACTCAAAAGATCTTTTGGAACACAGTTCATTTGCAGGGTACCTATACATGTGAGCATCAATGGCAGCTGGATTGTCATTTGAGTCCACAAGGCAGCCATCACTTACCCAACAGTCTCCACATGTATCCAGTTCCCATCCTTCTAGTCGACCTTCCTACAAGTAATTGAAGTATGTTTTTTATATAACTAAAAGTTGTCCTAGACCAATAGAACCTTAAGGGTTCAAATTCAAAGCTTGTCATGTACAGGCTTTAGTTAACTTTTGATTTTGTTTAGTTTATGATATATTCAAGTGATTGACATATATTACAAGTTTGCAATGTGTTAAATGTTAAAATATGAAATGAATAGTAATTTGTATTCATAGAATAAAATAATAAAAAAAAAATCATGGCATCATCAAAGTAACTTTCAGGAATTAGAAGCAGCTTGTAATAAAAATCAAGTACCTCAATGCATAACCGAAATGTTTCGATGGCCTCTCTACCTCTTGTCTTTGCATATTTAGGCTCAGAGATGATATTCATTCTCAATTCAATGGACTCCGATGGTTCCTCAAGATCTTTTATGAGACTCCCAATTCCTTCATCGGATCCTGCAAGCTTCATCTTTATCATCTCAATGATGATTTTTACCACCATGTATGCCCCTACAAGTAAAAACCCATATCAATTGTGACACCCTAATCCAATAGTGAAGACCTTTTATTTTAATTGAATAGTTTGGGGGTCTTAAGATAAATGCTTGTTAACGGTATAATGTGTCTAATTAGTACACAGAAAATAACGCAGAGGGCCGGAGGGAAATATTTTAGAAAGAAAACTAACCATCATCTAGGAAATGATTCTCCTTAAGTGCACCATGTCCAGATGTTTCCATCATGAGATGTGTTTCAATTCCATCCTTATTAAGTTGAACTCCTTTGTCTATGACATTCCGGTATCCGACACGGTACAAGCAGTGTTGCCCACCTCTGTCCGTAATAAACCTTGTAAGGGCCATGCTTGTCCGAGCATCAGTGACAATTGTAGTACCAGGATGTTCTCTCAATACAACGGCTGACATAAGTGCAATGAGCCTGTCCCCGTTGATGGGGTTGCCTTTGTCGTCGACCACACCACTTCTGTCTACATCCGTGTCGAAAACAATGCCGAGGTCGGCGGAGTTTTCGAGCACGGCGGCTCTGGTGAGTGCCATGGCGGTTTTGTCTTCTGGGTTGGGGATGTGGTTGGGGAACATTCCGTCTGGGTTGAGGTGGAGGGAACCGAAGGTGTCTGCTCCCAACTTGTCTAGTACGTCCCATGTGAAGAAGCCACCGGATCCATTTCCAGCGTTCACGATTATCTGAAATTTTTACGGCCAAGAGAACTCATCGTTAGTTTTTGGGCTAACAGGCTAAGAGGAGAAAGTTTAGTTTGATTTTCTTCACCTAGGCCCGTTCTCGAAATCACTATTTAAGATGACAATTTTTCCCATATTTATTTAATAGGTACCCATATTTTTTCTTATAGAGTATAGGGCAAAATCATCATAGCATATAAATTGTACATAGCACAAATATATTGAGTTAAACAAGGTATAAAATTTAAGAAAAATTTTGAAAAAACTTGTTATATATAAAATTGAACTCATTACTTCAAAAATAATAGTCTTAGTCTTCATTACCAAAAAAAAAAAAGTCACTTAAAAGTGTTTTAATTTGTCTTTATTTGTTAGTCAAGCACTGATAAAAATTTGACTAGATAATAATAAAAAAAAAATTACTCATAATTTCATAAGAAGTTAATATATTTAAAAACGTAATTTGAAACCTCAAATCCTTTTAGTGGCATGTCGTAGTGTAGGGGATGGTTCACTCTCTCCTTGATGATTTCCCGGAGGTGCTTTGCATAAGCACTCATGAAATCAACTCTTGTTGGTAGAGTCCTCAGCACTGTCGATACTTTTGCCATCCTATTGGCATATTTACTTGCAGCTTTGTCACATATCTCTTCCATCTCCGGAGCAGTCAGCCCCCCTCTCTTTGTAAAAAATTTTAGCCCATTCCGGGTGTAGGGTAAATGAGACGCGGTCATCTACACCACAAAACATCATTCAATCCAATAAAAATAAAATATTTTTCACATAATGAATCGACTCTAGCATATATCATTTTAATCTTTAATTTATAAGATATATTTATTAAACTTCACCTCAAAAAGATAGTGTGTAAATATAAAAAATAGCCATATTTTTAGACGAGTGGGAAAATGAAGGACTACATTACCATTATTGAAGCATCATAGGAAAAAGGAGGCAGCAATGTACTCATAAAACAAGCCGGTGTAGTGGCAAGCCCCATGTCAAAAGTCAAGCAACCAGCTCTGGCAAGCCCTGAAAACACAGCTAGACTCAAGGTTGCCCCTGAAATCCTAGGATCTTTTCCAAGAGACACTCTAACAACTTCCACCGGATTTCCCCGTTCCTTTTCTAGCACACTAATTAGCCACTCCCCGAAGCTCTCTGCAATAGCCTCCACAGCAGGAGGCGTAAGCTCCACGGTCCTACCCTTTTCCCCGTCCAGTGCCACCCCTCGAACGTCAGGCCCATTCTGGAGCCTCCTAATCCTTTCCATTTCCTCATCAATGACAAGCTCATTGCTGTTCAAGGTAGCCAAAAATTTGAACTTTACAGCTTTATTCAAAGGTGTTAAAAATGGGAATTTGAGTGCAGTTTGGAATGGTCTTGATGCGGGGGAAGATGGGAAGGCTGTTTTTTGAGCATTACTTTGGAATGGTATTGAGGATGTTGAAGTGGAAGCCATGGATACTGAGGAAAGGATTTTTCTTGAGAGTTGGGAAGATAAGATTAAGCAAATAAATCATATCCTTACATTTCTACAATAGAATGCAATATCTAACCAAAAGAAATATCTGTAAACAAACTGCCAAAAGCTTGGATTTTTCTGGTTTTGTTCAGGGCTTGACCTCCTCAACTTTGTTCATGTTCCTCATGAAGTGCAATTGGGGTGTCTTTTTCTTTGTGATGTAGAAAAGAACAAGGGCATATTCTTTTAATCAATTTCCTTTTAGCTTGCCATTTGTCCGGTCTTCAATATTTATGAGATTTTTTTATATTTCTGTTGTCCATGTGCTGAATAAAAACTCCATAAAAGAAATATAAATAATTTTAAAAGAGTTGGGGTTTTCGTGGTCTAAAATGAATCGAAATTATAAAAAAATTTACTTCTCATTTAATAATTAATGTTGTATATTTTTTTAATTTTTAGAGTAGTAAAAGTTAAAATAAATTTTTTTAAAAGTCCTAAGTGTTTTTTTTTTTTTTACATCTAAGAAAGTTAAATTAAAGGATCGATGGACATAAGCAACACTACCACGATCTACAAGTAGAATGGAAGTCATGCCCACTCGTGGTATGCTATAGACAGTCAAACATAGTTGCAAATAATAACCTGAAGATGTCATAAAGTTTTCAATTAATCTTGTTTTCCTCTCAAATTTGTTAAAAATATAAAAAAGTGAAAAGTAATAAAATTGTAGACAAACTGAAAATTAATAACTATAAGTACAAAAATATAAATAGGACACTGAATCAATTATGAGAAGAAAAATAGAATAAAACGAGAAATATAATAAAATGGAGAAAGTTGGACTTCAGTGCAAATTAACAAAAGTTTTATGTTTTATTTCAGGGCTTTGATGAAACGAAAATAACGAAATGGAACTGAAGTACCGAATAGGAAAAAGTGAAGGTCTCGAGCTGTAGACGACGTCGATTTGGAGAAAGGTATAAAATCCCTCAAAAATCTTTCTTCATCCTCAGGCAGCGATCGTACAGACGGAAATCCCGAGATTGTTCGCCCTTTTCTTCCTCCTGTGCCCATGACAGTCGCCTTCTCCGTTGAATCCACTCCTCTCGGTGACTGGTCTCGATCTCAAGAATCTCTTCCTCACCCGGCTCGTTGCTTCCCCGATATCAGAACGATGGATTCGCTCTCGCCTCCCGATTTCTCCCTTTTCCTCTAGATCTGCTCTCTCAAACCTTGGGGAATCTCAACCTCCCGATTTCAAGATTGCCTTCTCCTCTGATATTTCCTTTCTCCCTTAGATCCCCAATCCTTCATCTCCGATTCCATTCCATTCCAAAACCGTCACCAGATCTCCCCGACGACCACCTGTCTTCAGCTTTAAAGCCCGACGGCGGCTTCCGGAAGTTCTTCCATTTTCCAATGCCGATTTCAGTGACAGAGCAAGAGCACCGATCTGAGTATCCCATGGGTCATGTTGGTATCTTCTTGATGATTTTTGGTCCTGATCTGATACCGTAGATCCGGCATCCTACTGCGTCAGATCGATGGCCCTGGCTCCGATCAACGCTCCTATGGCGCCGGCTGGTCCCTAAGGGACAGATCTGGCATGCATCCCTAGATCTGGCTCAAATAGAGAAACGGTGCTCTGTTTCCTACTGATTCGTATCGTGGATTGGTGTGGATCGTGCCAGCTAGGGATTGAAGATGTCGACCACTACGGTTTGGTGCGTACTCACTGTCTTCTCTGTTTGTTGATTGTTTTTATTTCTTTTATGTGTCTTTGATTTTGCCACAGTTCTTAAGTTCTTATTGAAGTGTTTGTGTTCTGTGAATCTGTACGGAAGATAATGATTTTTTTTCTGTAAATTTTAGAGTATTGGTTTAATGTCTGGTGAATCTAAATCTAATGAAGTCTGTTTTCTGTGTTATCGTTATGCTATAGTGTTTCAACGACAAGTGAATTCGTTAGAATGAAAAACTGAAACATGGAATGGCTGCCATAAGAACCTTACGTTAAAATGGTAGTAAGATGCAGTTTTCCTTCTTTTGTCTGCATTTTCCTGCTACTGAATCTTGTTTTCATGTGTTTTTGTTTACTGGAAAATTGGAATATCTGCCATGAGAACCTAGGGTTAAATTCATGAAAAAATGGTAGTAAGATGAGATTTTTCTTCACTTGTCTTGTTTTCATGTGTTTTTATTTACACCTAAGAATTGTTTGTTTTATTTGTGGTTATACCGTAATTGTTTGATATCCAAGTACAATGTGGGAAAGAGCATTGAATTTCATAGTTTGATTGCCTTTGTTTTCCTTCTATTGTTGAAAATTCCTAGGAAATCAACATATGTATAGATATATTTGGAAATTTTATTCTTCCACCGTAGTTATGCTAGAATTGATAAGTTTATGATTGTTTATGCCAATGCTTCCTTTTTAATAAATTCAATTGCTGACGTATAGAATTATGCTTATGATAAATTGACTATTCAATAGCTGATCTTGTACTGATTAGAGACTAGAGAGGCTGCAGTTACCATTACAAGAAAGTAGAAACCTGAATCTTCTTTTAATTAGCATTTTCTTTTTTTGGTAAATTTCTAATTAGCATTTTCATTTTATAATTTGTAGTTAGAGGAAGTAGACAGAATGCTCTTGTTTTCACTTGTTTGAAACAATGATTAATGCTGTGTGATTTTATATTTTACATTTGTTTTTTTGATCTGAAGATTTTTCTGAAAATCTGAATGGAGACTCTAAATTTCTTTGCTACAAGGAGTTGATTTTATGATTGACAACTTGTCACTTTGTTGCTAGTTTGAAGGGCATTGTTTAAGTGCAAGCAAATGAAGTAGAGGGATCATTGATGGTTTTGATCTGAAGGAGAATGGCAATCTGGCATTTGGAGAGAGTTTTTTTGAGGAGGTAGGTTGTATATTTTGTTTGGTTTTTTTGAACTTTCTAAATTGTTAATGAATATGTTTCCTCTGGTATGGCTTGATTGCTTCATGTTTGAACTACTTTTTTTTTTAAACATACATTTTTTAGGGAGGGGTGAAGGTCGTTTGACAGTACAGTGATTTAGTTTCTGCATTCTTAAATTGGTAGTATGTTTTTAACTAAGCAAATGTCTTTTGATATTATTTTAATATATGCTGTATTTCTGTGGTAAAAATTTATTTTTGTCACCATTCTTATAAAAGTATATGTGTTTCCAAATGTAAGATAAGTTTATTATTTCTAGGGCTGACCAATCCATTATAGCTTTCATTTTCTTCTACAGTTCGACCCATTTTCCCATAAGTTATGAAATTTCTTAAGTTTTATAAGACCTTGACTAACACATAGTTGCATTCATGGCACCTTTCGTTTTTTACTGCATTGATTATGCTATAGTAACAGCTTATATACAATTATGATACCCTTATAGAGTCCATGCCGCTGCTTAAATATGAGACCTAAATTTTATAATTTTTGCCATGTCTCACAGCTCCCAAATTAACCCAACACAGGGTTTTCTATGGTTGTTGCTTGTACTGATACTGGTTGAAATGTTATCTGTGTGGACTTTCATTTAGCCAAATCTCTAAGCTTTATTGTTTATGTTCTAAAAATTTTTTGGGGGTCTTCCTTGTCATTATTAACTGAAGGTGCTTCATGTGAAGAAGACTGTAGATGGGATTTGATTTTTTCTGAAATATGATTAAGCCATTAATTTATTTAGGAGTGGTAGGAAAATGGCTTTTTGAGGTCATCACCAAACCATGTATTTCACCAGTTCAGGTGAACCTTCCACTTGGGCCCAAAGCCAAACTGGTCATAATTCTGGACTTCAGCTTTTTCTTTAATGGATTGTTCGTAAAGTGTTGATGTAAAAAATGAGTGCTTATAGCATGTCGCTAACATGTGCATCTTTAATGGAGGTGCCAGGAGGCTTTTGTCAACGGAAACTTGTTTGATTATAAAGAACCAAATTTAAATATCATTATGCCTCTCAAAATTTACGTGATACATGACTTTATCATCTTCACTACTGTTGAATAATCTTGATATTTTCTTCTCTTCTGGCGTAGGAGCCGATACCGAAACACCGATTTTGGCGAGATTTAAAATCCCACTACGATGAATTCAATTGTCAAGTTCACCATTTAGGTTGGCAAGACTTAAGATACAAAGATAAATCGAGAAAATCTACTCTCAAGAAACTCAACAGAGGAGAATTATAAACTGAAATTTTTGGATTGAAACTCATGTACAATGGTGAGAACGCTATTTATAGGCAAAATCTAACGAAGGCAATAAATAAAAAGTGAAAATGCAGTTGGGAGTTAGCTATCTTTGTGGAATTTAGTGGTTATTTTTGTTGACTTGTGGCTATGTTGACAAAGTTGCATCGACCTAGTGGTGCTGCAGAGTAGCTTTTGCATGCTTCTTATTTTTTCCTGGTGCATTCTCCCTTGGTTGGAGAAAACTCGTCCTCGAGTTTGAGTTCAATGCACATGATTCTCATAGTAAGGAGATAAGTCAACAACATTAAAAGTAGCAGAGACTCCATAGTCGCTTGGAAGTCTGGTCTTGTAGGCACAACCATGTTAGAATCCTTGCTTCGTTGAGTTCGCGGTAATCCATGAGGAGTCTCATCAGGAGCAACATTAGAAAATTCTTCAATGAGAGATCGAATATCTTTTGGAAAAGAGGAAGTGGCATCATTCACTTTAGATAATAATAAGAAACAAGTTGTCCTTGATTCTTGATGCAACTTCTGAAAGGTTGATCTGGAGATTAAAGCCTTGTCCTTATCCTTATTTTCAAGTGTCTCTTCAGGCTTCAGGGGAATAAGCTTGACCTTCACACCATCTTTCACAAACGAGTAGGTGTTGGCATGGCCGTCATG